GCAAAGAATGATAAATGATGCCTCGCAATTGCTGAAATCTGATTACCCTGAGATAAGAGCTACGCCAAATTCTACTTGTATAAATTTGTACCTAAGGAATGAGAAAGAGAGAGAGACAGAGGAAAGAAAGAAAGAAAGAAAGAAAGGAAGGAAGGAAGGAAGGAAGAAAGAAAGGAAGAAAGAAAGAAAGAAAGAGAAAGACTCTAGAAAAATGAATGCTTCCATTTATTCCTTCAAAATATAATATAAACAAGGAAACAAAGAAAATGCAAATAGATTCAGGATGCCATTTGCACTCAGGGGGAGAAATTAATAAAACAGTTCCATCCTGAAAGAAAGACCAAAAATCGACCTCCATTTAAGAAGCTAATTTATGCACTCCTGAGTCCTCATACAAGTTAAGCAGCACAGAATATCACAGCAGGCATAGAACAACAGATCTTGAACCCTGCTGTGTTTGTTCAAGGAGGCAAGTTAAGCTATTCCTAACAGGAAACAAAACACGCCGTCGGGCTGTTAAATAGGGATCATTTTGCCATACTGCGCAGCCCTGAATGCATCAATTGCTGTTCCAAACAGGATTAGAGATGTGGTTTGCTTTAACTATGGTTTTGTGAAAAATGCTTATGCCTACTCAAAATTCTCAGGCTGATATTAACTAATATGGTGTCAGGAAAGACATAGAGCACCTAGGAAACCTTTAAGAAATGGTCTTTGGTAAATTCCGAAATTGTGTGGATGCAGCAGAAAATGAAGGGAAAGGGTACCAGGGTCTGGACATGTTCATCCACATAAAAAGGCACATTTGGAATTCCCCGAGGAGTATTTTTGACTTTAAACATTCAAGGCCCACTGTACGTTGATTAAACCTATATTGATTAAATTAATCCTGCAGCGAATAACTGATGTTTAGCTCCTACAGACGGAACCTATGTGAAGAAAAATGCAGCTAGGAAAATGGACGACTTTGTTTAATAGTATTACCACTGAACATACATTTGTAAACGGCTTTGGGTAATTCTGCTATGTTATTATCATAAAATCAGATCTCTTGGACATTTTTGTAGAAGTAAAGAAGAATTTTAAAAAGGCAGACCTTTTTACACATAGACCTCTCTTCACTGCTGAATTCAGGGACAATCAATCCACCAGAGAAACTGGTCCAGTTTCTACCCAGAAGAATGAATTTGTGATGCCTTGAAAGTGCTGCATCTGTATTGCTACATTTTTTTTTAGCCAAAACTTCAGGACACTGCCTCCATATTTGGGAAAAATATTTAATATTTATCAGGTTCATCACCAGTTAGTGCCACTCCAATTTTATATCAAGGCTTGAAATTTATAGAGTCTAGGAATTATCTTGGAGATGCTTAAGAATCATAGAAAAAATAATATATATTTTTTCAAATTGTTGTTCTAAAACATTGTCATAAAGCACTAGAAGAGAAGTTTTGGAAGACCCTCAAAATATTAGAATCATGAAAACCATAACTTACAGACAACAGTCATTTAATGGCTGCCACACATAAGAGGGACATCCAAATGGGACATTTTTAGTTGCAGATCAGCCAAGAGATTAAAATAAGTATGTTTACAGAGACATAACTATTTAAAATATTTATAGAGAAAATAGTTGCAGATGATACAAAGTTAGACTCCAACAAAAACACAGCACAAATGCAGACACCATATGGTCCAATGTATGCGCTCATGACCTCATGTGAAAAGTAGGCCAAAGCTGTAGCGGCTGGGGGTGCCTCTCTTTCACCCCTGGAACAACAAACTCAGGGGTTTGGAAAGAGCTCATTAGAATCATGGCCACAGATGGGTGAAATCTATGGGTAACGTCAAAGGCATTAGGAAGAAACCTCTCAAAACAATTCTCCCTACATGTTTTTGCTTTGTTGGGGTTTCAAGACCAATCTCCATTTCTTTCTGACTACATGAAGAAGGTGCAGTCAGTTCAAGCACAGAGTTTTGTTGTTGTTGTTTTGAGGTGGAGTCTCACCCTGTCACCAGGCTGGAGTGCAATGGCGTGATCTTGGCTCACTGCAACCTCCGCCTCCCAGGTTCAAGCAATTCTCCTGCCTCAGCCTCTCGAGTAGCTGGAACTATAGGTGTGTGCCACCATGCCCAGCTAATTTTTGTATTTTTAGTAGAGATGGGGTTTCACCATGTTGGCCAGGATGGTCTCGATCTCCTGACCTCGTGATCCACCTGCCTCAGCCTCCCAAAGTGCTAGGATTACAGGTGTGTGCCAGCGTGCCTGGCCCAACCACAGAGTTTCTAATGAAATGGGGGTAGCACCCATACCTGTTGGGCTCTTTTGCCCTCTCCCAGTTATTCATTAGGCTTGAGTCAGAATCACAAAACACTGGGCAGAGGTCCCAGACCACCCCTCACATATGACTGTTCTCTTGATGTGCTCTGAAGCACCAGGGGTCAAGTTAAGCCAAGTGGTAATGAGAACTCTACATTTTGAGGGTCTAGCATATGCTAGGCTCTGTGCCAGGAACAGGTAAGAGAAGTAACTTTCAAAACAAAAGTGGAAAGTTAGTTTATCATTCTCCTTAAATAAATAAAAACATGTAGGCTTAGAGAGGTTAAGTAACTCACCCATGGTAACAAGTGGATGAAGGCTAAAATGGAACCACCACATTCCTTTGCTGGTCAAGCACCAAGACAGTATATCTAAGGAAAGTTGACATTTGCAAGAACCTCATTCTTCTAGCAAAGGCCTCTGCAAGTGTCACGGAGGTAATACTGGGGAAGGAGTGGGAAGGAGAGTTGGGGGCAGGGATGCTAGTACATCACCAGGTGAAGACTTGCAGGCTTCGGGAGGATGCCTTCAACCTGTGGTGCACCCCTCCCTCAACTCCTCTTACCCTCCAGCCTAGATACCTGAGGTTTATTTTCAAACTCCTTCTTCAAAGAGCTGAATTTCCCAGAAACTACCCCCAAAGGATTCTGAAACCATGTCGCATAGATCTCTTAATATTTTGTAAGGTAAGTGCCTTTCTCTATCTTAACAGAAAAAAGACAATTTCTAGCCATGATAGGAAAAGAAGGCAAAGCTATTCCTTTTCACATAGGGCTACACAACAAGTCCCTTGGGATGTCTGACATCATTCAGAGACAGGGAAAAAAATTAGAAGCCAGCTGAGGCATCTTCCTTGACTCTGGACTTTATATGACCACAATAAAATGTTCCATATTGCAGGGCATATGATGTGAGTCAATACATGATGACAGAAGAAGCTAATGCAATGAAGTGACTGCTATTGAAGAATTACATAGCCCAGCAACACTTGTTCTTCTATATTCTGTGTTGCTTTGTTTTGAACTTCGTTTTAAAATTCTATGGCTGGCTGGGCACGGTGGCTCACGCCTGTAATCCCAGCATTTTGAGGCTGAGGCGGGCAGATCACCTGAGGTCAGGAGTTCAAGATCAGCCTGGCCAACATGGCGAAACTCTGTCTCTACTAAAAATACAAAAATAAGCCACATGCGGTGGTGCATATCTGTAGTCCCAGCTATTCGGGAAGCTGAGGAAGGAGAATTGCTTGAACCTGGGAGGTGGAGGTTGCAGTGAGCTGAGATCGCACCATTGCACTCCAGCCTGGGTGACACAGAGAGACTCTGTCTCAAAAAATAAAATAAAATAAAATAAAATTCTATGGCTGATGGCACCTCCAATTCATGAAGTTTTTCTATAACTGGAATACCTTGTATATGCATTGGTGGAAATTTGATGAATAAATGTCAATAAGTGGAAGCTGGTCCATTTTTAGGCACAGAATTTGTGAAGTCTTTCTATCAAAAAAATTCAAATGTAGGTAATTAAGAAAGCATGTCCTATCAAAGACATTGAGCCTTCCAAACAATCTGGAATTCTGACCATTTATTTACCCTGGAAGCTGTTGTGAGCCTTGAATACTTTAACTTTTAATGAAGTGTTCAGTCCTTTTGTGATGGCATTGAAGTGTAATCAAACATTACCACAAGCCAAGTCACACACTAGCATGTCTTGCCTTGTTTAAATACCTCAAATATATTTGAGTAATTGTGTAATGATTTCGAGGCCTCTGGTTGTCCATATGGTCTGAACAGACTGTCTTTAGTAGAGCAGTTGTGCTCTCTCTCAATGAGAAGGAACCAAATCATCTTTGCTCTAAACTGGAGAGCTGAGGAGATGCTGTTTAAATTTCAGGGTGACGCCCTACCTTAACTCTTGAAACACAACATCTGGCCCCCAGAACTTGCTGTGTCTTCCAGAAGTCTTGCTTATGTTTGTGAAACACACAAGAACAATGCAGCAGGCACTGAGTGACATATTTTATGCCATAAATGTCCTTAGGATACAATGACATGCTACGAGGGTGACACAGCAAAGCCATCCCTGCAACCACATGGAGTCTTTCTGGACAGAGAACATTCTAGATGGTGGAACTAGATCATCTCAGACAATGAAGACCAGTGAAAGGGTCTGGCCATTGGCAAGAAATCTGCTCTAATGGTCTCTGGGATGATGAGGCCAGCAAAGGAGCTGCTGATTTTTACAATTAATAAAATCCAAGAAGAGTTTTCAGAGATTTGGCTTAGGAGCCCCGAATTTAAACTTGGTTACCATGCCTTACAAATTACTCACATTATTTGTGTCCCTAAAAATTATCTCAGAGAAGGCCTGGAATGCTATGTTGGAAGGAATGCACCAAACTTATTATTGACCTATTATTTGATAATTCTTAGAGAAACAGTTGGGCATGGATTCATCTCCCAATCACTGGCCACCATAGGGTCCTTTGGAGGGAGTAACTCAGCAAAGGAGCAGTGGACAACTGAGTCTGCTGGCCTCTCTGTTCCTGCCCAACTTCAGGTTTCTGAAGCTGTGGAAGAAAACCATTTCACTGGTCATTAACAGTGCCAAATGTACAACACCATGGAGGCATGCACGACTTGTGAGTCTGGGGGTGACTGGAATGTGACAGAAGAGAATTTACCTTTTGTGCCTGAGGGAGCTGAAGGGGGAAAACAAAACAAAACAAAAAAGAAAAAAGTTGATCATTATATAAGTAATTAAGATTAATGGTAAAACTTCATTTTGTTGCTATTTGCAAATAGAGAAACCAAAATGGGGAGATGAGTGAAATAGAGGTAAAGCAAGTTATTTTTCACAACAAAACTACAGTGCTGATTATTTGACCTGCTTTCTGAATTTGTGGTATCAACAGTTAATCTACGAGCTTTCCAGCATGTGTTTTGGGAATCACCACATCCAAAGCAGCTGATAAGTTCCTATAAAGCTGGAACCGAGGCTCTTCTGTCCAGTGATCCAAAGGGCACAATTCCATGACCCAGTTCCTTCTTCCTTTAACCAGCAGTTTTCAACTGGACGAGGGCTATCTGGAGACATTTGGGGTGGTCACAACTAGGGGGTGAAAGGGAAGGGAGTGAGAGCTGTTGGCTTCTAGAGGGTAGATGCCAAGGGATACTGTGGAACATCTTACAATGCACAGGACAGTCCCCAACAAAAAGAAATTGCCCAGCCCATATATCCATAGTGCCAAAGTTGAGAAACCCTGCTGTATATAAAGGTAAGACTGTTAGAAAAATGCTTGTTTTTAAAGTCAATTTTTCTTGCTTTGTAGCACATTAACTGTTCCCTTTATTGGTGGTTAAGGGAGTATGCACAAGCATTTGTGCATTTAAAGTAAAGCTGATGTTCTAAGAACAAGGAAAAGACAGTCAGTCAGTCCATAAAATAAGACATAACAGCTTTCCCAGTGGCACAGGCAAGGAACTGAAATTAATAGGTATGTGGAAAAAGATGAACATTTACGAGATGTATTTGTCTATATTTCTGTGTTGAGAGTATTAGGCTACGGTTTAACGCCACAGTATTATGACTGCCATTATAGCATGCAGTGTTTTTGAAAAGCATTTTTCTAATCTGGAATGGAATTAACATTATCCATGTATTAAATACTCAATCTAAGAATGACATCATTACCAAGATTTATTTTTCATCATAGGGACTAACATTTATCAAGTATGAACTTGTCACCAGGCACTTTGTTACGTCCTTGTATTATCCCATTAAATCACAGCAACCTAATGCTAGGTGTCCCTATTCTACAGAGGAAAACTAAAATGGAACTTAAAGGTTAAGTAATTATACAATGTCCCATAGATAAAGAATCACAGGACTGTGCTACCTGACTTTAGAACAGACAAATTCAACTCAATTCACACATAAATAAAGACCCCAAACACTTGGGAATTGTGACAGTAAATTTGCTCTCTGTCTCTCTAGAGTTTATGGCATCAGAAGTGCTAGAAAATACAAAGCAACTAAATCAGACATCTTCAGGTCTCCACTTGAATCATCAGACTTTCCCATTCTTTTTACTCTGGGAAGAATGCTTTCTCTTCTGATACATGAAGAACAGGTCTCTCTTAAACTTGTCCAAAACCCCTGCTCCTATGGATGGAGCCCACAAAGAGCAGAACCAAACAAACAAGACATTTTGGATCCCAGAGATGTCTCCAAAATGGTATTGAGAATGTCTATGAAAAGCAGATTCCAACTTCTCCAACACTCAATTTCCAACGCTTTTATCTTACACAGGCCTCCCAATTTAAGAAGACAGAAATACGAGGATGTTTTCCTGATTCATTCCTCCTAGTTAAGGCTGAATTATTCAAAAAGGAAGCTCATGAGCTCCTCCAGTGCTTTTCAAGAGTTCAGAAAAAAATGGACCACGAGGTGAGAAACTGAGTTCAAAATGAGGAATCACTTTTAAAAAAGTTTCTCAAATATTAAACATCTTTTCACACAACAGAAAAGAAACCTTGGATACATGAACATCGTGGAAGGAAAAATGTATATTTTCTTAGGAAAGTGTTTTTGCTGAATCACAGCTATGTCCTGTGAAAGCAAGGGGCCATGAGTATGACAAATGTTTGATGGAGTGCAAAATAAATACCAAAGTGAAGCCCTGCACAAACTGCTGGACTTTGCAGGCCTCTTTGACAGGAGAGCTGCTCTCTCGCTCTCTCTCTCTCTCTCTCTCTCAATTTTATCTTTGTTGAGCAGGAAACACCTCTTTTTGACTCATCCATTTAAGCACATGGGAAGAAATCCCGGGAAGGAAAATGACAGACCAGGTCTTTGTGGTGATGTCCTCAGTTTAAGACTGCCCTCAACCTCCCCGCAAAACATATATTTTCCTCAAGCAATAACATAGGAGAACAAAGAGTAACTTTCCTACTGGAGCTTTGAAATAATGTAAATTACAGCTTGTGATGCCCTCAGCTGGCTGGACCTCTCTGAAGGAGTCTCAGTGCAGAATAGTACACATTTACATCAGATCCTCTGTGGCCACAGATGCTGCTGCTGAGAGCTGGCTCCCCAACACATCACCACCCAGCATTCATGACTTGCATGCAGGCCCCTGCCCTGGGGGCCAGACCAGCCAGATACCTGGTCCGCTTTGGCCTCTGGCTCAAGTCTTGAGGCACAGGCCTTCCAGCCTCTGGCCAGTGTGCTTGTCTGTAACATGGATGATGGAAAGAGGGCTGGGGAATGGCCAGGTCTTGGATGGGCGTCGGTTTTGCCTCAAGAAGCAGCTCTGACTAATTAGGAATGGCTAGATGAAAGGCTATGTTGAGAAGGATCCTGAAGTCATGCCTGAGTTTCACTGGAAAGAATTTTATCACTAGCCAGGTGCGGTGGCTTATGCCTGTAATCCCAGTACTTTGGAAAGTCAAGGTGGGCAGATTGCTTGAGTCCAGGAGTTTGAGACCAGCCTAGGCAACATAGTAAAACTCCATCTCTACAAAAAATACAAAAAAATTAGCTGGGAATGGTGGCACATGCCTGTAGTCCCAGCTACTCAGAAGGCTGAGGTAGGGGGAATCACCTGAGCTCAGGATGTTGAGGCTGCAGTGAGCCCTGATAGTGCTACTGCACTCCAGCCTGGGCAACAGAGTGAGATCCTGTCTCAAAAAAAAAAGAAAGAAAGAAAGAAAGAAAGAAAGAAAGAAAGAAAGAAAGAAAGAAAGAAAGAAAGAAAGAAAGAAAGAAAGAAAGAAAGAATATTATAACCAGATAGCAGCATTTGTTATAAATAAGAAATGGCAAAACATTTCCTGTGCTTTTTCTTTATAGTTCTGAGCACAACTCCAATGACTATGCAATTTTTTCATGTAATGCCTTTCTGTCCTGCTAGGTCACAAACTCCAAGAGGGCAGAGAAGGCATCTTCCCCATACGTAGTGTGAAGTCCTCTAACCTGTAACTGGTACTTTCCTTGTTAAATAAGCTACCTTATTACTAGGATAAGCCCAGAGTTGATGCCAAGGAAAGATAATCAGGGTAACTGCCTTGAATCTTTGAATAAACACCCCACCACCACCATGTTAATCACCCAAGCTGATGGCCGTCAAGAGAAAAATATGTCTGCTAGAGGAATAGATGTGAAACTTACATTCCCACATGCCTGGTATAGGTGTCTGTCTATGAGTGATTGTCTCAGTGACTCCTGGATATGCATAAAACCAGCCTGGGCACTTCTCATCATCATGAGGCCCCAGATGAGGTGACATCTCTTCCTCAACACATGGGGGAGATGTTTTCTTCTTCAAAGCCACCTTGTCACAGGCATTGCCAACCAGGCTTTGCCTTGCTGGGTCTATTTCCTCATTTACTCCATGAGGGGTCTGGACAGGCAGCATTGGGTTCCTTCCTGGCCCACAACGCAGATTGTAAGATTCTCTGTATAACTGAATACATCCTCAAGTCATTTTTCCAAAAGAAGGATAAAGAAAAAAGTTGTGGTGTGCTGTGTGGGTTTACACACTCCTAAGGAAAAGCTGGGTGCAGGATACATTTCAGGTGAAACTTCACATTCAAACATGGAGCGTGTGTATTCAGAAGGGAATGAAGGAGAGGAAATGATGAAGATAAAGGTGACAGCAGTAACAGAAATACTCACTGTTGATTGGACTTTTTCCTTAAACCAGGTACCTGGTTAAATGCTTGATCAGTTTTAGCTCTTTTGCTTTTTGTAGTGAATCTCGGGATTAGATATTTGTATCTTCTCAGTTTATAGGTGAGGAAACAGACAATATTTAGAATGGTTAAGTATCTAACCAAGGTCACCTAGTCAGGAAATGTTCCTGTTGAAAGTTAAGGACAAGGCTCTGTGTGGACCCACATCTGCTCCAACCAGTGCTACTTCTCACATGACCACACAGTAGCAGCACAAACCCACACCCCCAAAGGACTTGGGGACCTCATGGGCCATTCCATCTGGGCAACCCATAAAAGAAAGCAGGGACGAGAAATCCTGGCATCATTCCTTATGGAAGAGTCTGGATGGAGGACAGAGAACCCAGCCACCATGGTTTTCAACATGTGGTGTATCAGGTGAATGGTACAGCATGAAGATTGTCCATGCCCTCTCCAGTCACATACATTTGTTCTGTCCTCTCATCCTGGAACTCTTTCTAAGACTCCTCTCCACTTGTCTGGCAAACACCTATTTCTCTGGTCAGTTGTCTGTGTCTCAAAGAAGACTTGTTTACCCTTTCTTGTCATATGCTCTTTTCGCAGGCCTTCATAGTACCACATACCTGCAATTGGTAGCAAAGTTATTGCCATGCTGCTTTTCTTTTTCGGTACCAGAAACTCCAATTTTAGCCAAGCTCAGCTAAATGACTTTATTAAAGATAGGGGCGGTTAAGTGGGTTCGGTCATGGCCAATGAGATATGCATGGATGTGGCTTTTCCAGATGGTGTCTTTAAAAGGACTCCCTCCATCCTGCTGCCAAGAAGGTGGCTGTGATGGCTAGAGCTCTAGCAGTCATTCTGGCCTATGAGGTTATCTTAAGGCTGACAGTAATGCACTAGGACATTGAGGACAGCAGTCATGACAGGTGATTATGATAGCTGTGACATGCTATCCACCATTCGAAGTGCTTTACCTATATTAACTTATTGAAAACTCACAGTAATC